CTTTTTCTTCCTTTGCTTTTCCAGCCTTCCAAGGCTTTTGTGTGTAACGCTCCGCATTAAATCTCTCTCTGCCTAAATTATTTAGAGTGGTTTCCGGTTTCCTTTGTGGACACTGGTTGACCAAATGCTTTCCATTCAGACAAAAGCTTCAGTTTCTTACTGACTGTGTCTTCTGCCGGAGTCCCAGAGAAGCTCCAGATCCCTCCACCAATCAATCAGTCTGCTTTAATTCCCAGCAACACTCGGCTACAATGTCATTGGCACTCTTAGCAGAGTCATCAGTAAAAGTCACGCTCAAAGTATTTGAAGTAAAATAAAATAAGTCTTACTTTGAGAATTCTCTCAAACAATTACTGCTGTGAAAATTTCAGGTCCAGAGCTTTCTGCAAGACCTTCAGAACAGTGTGTGCTGTCACATCATCCCTGCATGTCCTGCCCGGGAAACACTGCCCCTTACAGATCCGTTCATTTTCCTGTGGCGTGGGTGGGATGGGTATTTGTCACTTTTGCTGTCTATAATTTATCCCCATTTATTTGAAAGGAGCCTATTTCATATGAAAACATAAAAACAAGTACCCAGAACTCTCCCACCCTGCACATTCACATGATTTTAATGGTTTCTTGATCAACTAGGACCATTTGCATCCTCTATCCCTAGAACTTTTATCTGGACCCAGAGTAGCCAAAACAAGACTGAGGATGACAGGGGCCTGGGCAGCTGCCCACCGGTTCCCAGTCTCACCCCACCACCACCACTGACTCTGGTTGAGGCCACGTTCTCCACTTCAGGGCCTGAGATCTCCCATTTCCGAATGGTAATTTACTTCCCTGCTTCAGTTAAGTAGAATTAAATTCTTTTAGCCTAAAGAACCATATATAGAGTATTTTTTTCTTTTAATTGTGATAAAATATATGTAGCATAAATTTTGTCATTTCAACCACTTTAAGTGCATAGCTCAGTAGCAGTAAGGACAATCTCCATAACTCTTTCACCCTGGAAAACTGACATTCTGTATCAAACTGTCCACTCCCCACCCGCACCAGCCCCTGGCCACCAGCCGTCCACGGGGGCAGCCTCTTCTAGGTGCCTCTTGTAAATGGAATCACTGGCTCATTTCACAGGCTCACCTGGGTTACAGCATGGGTCAGAATTCCTTTTCTCTTTAAAGCTGAATAATATCCCGTTGTATGTTACACCATGTTTTGTTTGTCGATTCACCCGTTTACAGACACTTGGGTTGCTTCTTACTTTTGGCTACGACCGAGAACGCTGCTATGAAACGTGGGTGTACACATATCTCTTAGAGACCTTATGTTGTAATTCCCTTAAACCTTTCCCCAGAAGTGGCATCATAGTTTGAGGAGCTGCTACAGCATTTTCTACTCTGGCTGCCCCATTTTATGCTCCACCAACAGTACACAGGGTTTTCTATGCCCTTGCCAGCAATTGTTATTTTCTGTTTCAAAAAAATTTTTTTTAATTTTAAAACACTAAGGGGAGTATACATTTTATTTTTTTGTAGTTTTTGGCCAGGGCCAGGTTTGAACCCACCACCTCTCATATATGGGCTGGTGCCCTACTCCTCTGAGCCACAGGCACCACCCAGGAGGAGTACACATTTTTAGGTTACATAAAGTCAGGGATCTAAATATGCCCATTGCCTGAGCAATGTTTGTGAGTTCATATAATATCCCATATACGTACAACGGGATACTATTCAGCTTCAAAGAAGAAAGAAATTCTGACACGTGCTGTTTTGGGCCCCACTCCAGCTCAATTTCCAGCGACCGTTACTCCTCTCCACGCATCTGTGTGCTCATCAGTTTTCTGTTTTTTTATGTAAAACTCTTTCCATTTTTTTTGAAAAGTAAATTTATTTCACATTAATGTGAGCATACAAACAACCAGGGCAAAATATTTGATTTGGTAGAGTCCTTCTTGTGTCCCCCACCACCGTCCTACATTCTAATTTGTGCAAAGCGATTCTATTCTTTTTTAAATGTGTTCCATCAAAGTCAGCCTCTTCTACTCACAAACGGTTAAGTATCATGAGCAACACCAGCCCAGTCTCTTGAAGAAGTGTTGGCTACCTCTCCAAACCAGTGTTTTTCAACCTTTTTTTATCTCATGGCTCAACCTGAGAATCAAAAAAAAAGTGAAGAAAAAAGAATATACTTACTGTGCACTGAATTTCTTTAGAAAATCATTTAATTCATGATCTTTAAAAATTTTCATGGCACACCTAAGATCTTCTCAGGACACGCTGGTTGAAAATCGCTGCTCTGAACTGTCCTGGACCCAGTCAGCTCAGCACGTTTCTTCTCCCCTCATCCCACTTCTCCCCACATTCCTCCAATTACCAATCCCTTTAACCTGGCGAGAATGGGACGCTCACCCTTCTCACCTGCCTCCACGTCTGCCTTCTCTCCTGGGAGAGTCAGGACAGGCTTCAATCATGCCACGTTAATACATTCAAAATATAGTTTGGGATAAATCTTTTTTTTCTTCACAAAAAGGGTAACCAAAGATAAAACTCAAGCCAGTTGCTGGGAGTTTGCAAACACAGTAACTGTGGCCCTACGGAGGAAGCATCTGGGGTCTTGCCAGAGCATTAGCCTTGCTGGTCCTAATTGGAGACAACCTCAGACACCTGAGCACCTGTGGGCCATCTGCATCCAGACAGCCTCACTCTGTCGCTTGTGGCTGTACTTCAGCTGCACCTGAACCAGGAGGTCTGGGACTTTCAAGCCAGTAAGGAGTCAGGCCCCCGGACTCTCAGCTAGCCAGCTCCACATGGGTTACTTTGAGGAAGGTTTTTAAACTCTCCGAACACATTTTCCTCATCAATGAAGCAGGAACACTGCCGCCTGCCTGGAGGATCATGGGCAGTGGACACACTTCCTCCTCCCGGTTACCGACATCATCCACAGCTTAAAAATGAAGAAATCATTTTATCCATTCTGTACATACAGAAATAAGATTGGTAGACGGTCACTACTGAGAAATAAGCTTATGCATGTGCCTACTGGTTAATGTGTTTTCGTAACTGCTCTTGAATATATCTAAGAGCCTCAAAAAGTTAACACTAGAAAAAAATCCCAGAGATCTATTGTATACCTCATGGTGGCTGTAGCAAATAAGAACATACTATGTACTTGGAAATGTTTGAGTAAATTATGTGTTTTAACCACACAAAAGCACACGTGTGAGGTAATGCATATATACTATTGCTTAGCTTGACTCAGCCTGTCCACAGGGTACACATGCATCAAATACTGTTCACACCATAACACATAAAATGTTTCTCAATTAAGAAAACACATTTTCTATTTTCAACAGCTTGAATTTCCTTTATATTTCAAACATAAGTATATTTGTCAAGAAACATCTCTAACGTTTTTTTTTCTAAAAAACTTCCATATCCACTTTTTTAAAGTCTATAGATTTTTTTTATTATACAATGTTGCTCTTAGCATAGAGCATATACATACACACACACACACACACACACACACACACACACATACTCTGTTCTTTTAACTCTTAGTATGAAACTTATAAAATTCTTTGTATTTGTAGAACTTTAACCAAGTATTTTCAAAAGCTTATTTTGAATTTGACATTCAAAGAAATGAATGAATTGTTATTATATTGGTTGTACCGATGAGATTTCGGAAGCTGTGTGACTTTCCCCGACCTTGAAGCCAGGAAGGCGGGAGGGTCTGAACTCAAACCCAGGCCTCCAGTTTCCAGGGCCCAGGGCATGGGCTGGAGGGCTGCTAGTGAAATGAATGCGGGAAAGCAGAAACGGAAGGCTTGGGGTGCTTTTGGAAGTTTGGGGAGCTTAGTATTAGCAAACAACTGAAATGCCATGCTCAAAGCCCAACAGGAGGCCCCCAGCACTGGAGGCATTTGAACTGCTTCAGAACGTGTAGGCAAGGAAATATTTATCACACATTCTGAACGTCCACTTTCTCAGATACACTGTCCTGATGTCCCAAATACTAGAATCTTACTCACCTTAGTTGTGGATTCACAACTTAAGTGTGTTTCTAAACACTTCCTCTTGTGTGTATTTTCTGAAAAATCAATATACATACCCCAATATCTTAATTCCTATGCTGCCAACATTCAGAAACAGTGTCAGGAGGGTCTCTGTGTGTCTGACCCTATGGCTGAGAGTAAAATGATCACCATAAAGGAATTAGTCTGATCTATTTGCACATGTCTTGTTAAAACCTCTACAATCAGCCAAAATTAGAATAGCCCTATTCTAAAACAATTTATCATTATATTTAAGTAGCAAAAAAATTAATCATTGCTCTCCCAGCAGAGAATTTACCACTCTGAAGAGTGCCTACTCCTCAGATTCCAACTCAGCAGACACATATAGGAACACACAAAAACAATGAAATGCAGAACTAAAATAGTGAAAAGCAAAAAACAACTTCAATGTTCAGTAAATCTTAAGGAAATGACAGTAGCTCAGACTTGGCGTATTAGGAAACTACTAAGTAATTGCTGTGCAGACTTTGTGTCACTAGCCAGTGACTTTTTCTTTTTTTTTTGCCAGAAGGTAATACAAATTGTGTTTATATGGTGATTATACAACAGAAAAGGGATATTTTTCACATGGACAAATATGTAAAAGAACATAGAAAAGGGGAAGGTCCCCCTTGTGAATCGGTTACCAGGGTTTGTACGATTAAAAGCAAAAGGAAGGAACTGAACTCCTGTCTCCACATGGTGTGAAATCCAGGAGGAAACATTCAAACTGGGGCCGTGGACCCAGAGTGACACCAGGACTGGGAGAAAGTTCAAAGCCAAGGGCGGGACCCATTCCTGGCCAGAGACAATCACTATATCAACTCGAAAGCACACACAGGCTCCAGATTCCACGTGTCTGTCAGGCGCCAAGCTTCCCGGCATCGTATCTTTAAATTGTTGGCTCCAAAGGGGAAAGTGAAATTGCATGAGAAGGAAAACACCACACGTGGAGAAAAGCATCATTTTGTAAGTCTTTATTTTTTAGTTGCTCTTCCCATAGTAATGCGCTGAAAGGCATAACAGTTTATACTGTACAAAGCATTTGAAGAAAGTACCTCGACTTGCCGGTTACTTCAAAATGAGATTACAAACAAAAAGAAAACAAATCCGGTTCCTCGATACAGGGCAAAATAACTGAATACAGTCTGTTACTTACTTCTCTCTTTTAACATAAGGTCAGGGACACTTCATTTTACAAATAGGATTAACATGAACGTAACATCACACGAGCTTGCAGACGACCAGCATAAAATGTGGGGTGCAGTTTTTAATCAGAAGAATCATGCCTTCATGAAAGAAATTATAATCGTTTATACAATCGAATCGATTTCAGTATTACAAAAACTAAGTTGCATCTATTCGTATTTAGTTCATTAAGAAGGAAAACAAAACAACAACAAAAAAAGGAATGTTAAGAAAAGCCAAACGGCATCCGGCACTCCCTGACGCAGGTCGAATCAGTCACCTTGGTCCTGGAAGTCAGAAAGAGGTGTGCCTCAGACGTCGGGAAGCAGTGGAGGACTGGAACAGTGCTATAGTATTTTCATCAACAAACAATCGTTTGCCACAAATAAATACATGATACACGCAACGCAAAAAAAAAAAAAATTAAACATTAAAAAACAGTGAAATGATTGTCTAAAATTAAGATGTTATTACAAGGATTTGGCAAACATGTTATTAGTGGTGCAGTGGTACTGGTGACGGACAGGTCCCTTCACTGACTTAACCTCTCTGAGCGTGGACATCCGAGTTCACAATATACACATACCCTTTCTCCCTAGTTTTAAACAATGTACTTAAGAAGGCAAAATAGTTAATGGGAAACAAGTCCTCCCTGTTATCAGCTTCTACAATAATTGACTGCATTTCATCCAGCTACTCCCATCTTCAAAGGGTTAAATTACATAAAACCTTAACAAAGAAAAGAATTAGATCTGTAATCAAAAGCAACTGTTCCCAATCATGTCAGATGATCTTGTACAAAAAAGACTTCAGTTTATATGGAGTGTTCATTAGGATCAATGCTGCCATCCCAGCTGCCCCCTCACGCCCACGCCCTAGGCAGGGTGAACTGGAAGACGCCTCCGCCCAGCAAGATTTTCATTTTGATCAAGTCACTTTGAGTCCCACCGATTGATCTTCCAGAAGTCAGCAGCTGCCTTCGCTGTGCAAAACAAAATATCAAGAATAAATAGTTTTTCTTTCTTTTCTTTCTTTTATTTAATCACTCAGTTTAAGGTCACCAGACCAGACGAGTGACCCCTCAGGGTTGTAAGGCATTCTGCTCAGCAGTCTTGTACAGAGTCCCCGGGAAAGAGCCACACGCTGCTGGACTTGGTCCCGCTCTGGCCAGCCTTGGGAAGGTCATACGTGGCTGATGGACTGGATGGCGCTGGATTCTGCTGCGGCCCGTGCCATGCTGTGCCACACGGTGGGAGAGCTGTGTGATGCGGGGTGCAGGGGCTCCTTGTCCGCCAGGGACAACATCATAGCGTACGCCTGGGGCAGAGAGGAGAGACTCAGTTAACAGTGCGTGAAACATCACTTTTAATTCCAAGAATATGGCTAACAAGTGTCGGGAAGGGCTAGGACTCTGACTAGCGTTTGAGAACATTTGGTAAAGGGGGTCATATTTCATTTGCAAAAATGATAGGGGAGTACCGCTGGCCTTCAAGGTCTACGGGACACAAAAGTGCCACATTCTACAGAATAAAGCACCTAAGTATCAATAACGCTTCCACTGAGAAACATGAATCGTTCCCCTGCCTACACATCAATGCCACCACTTCTCCACTAAATGTGTTCAGTTCACCAAAACGCTCATGGCGGCTGATGAAGGAAACTCCAAGTGTTATTAGAGACACACCCACCTGACAGAAGCAGAGGAAGGCACTCAAACCACAAATGAGTCTGTACTTTGTAACAAAAAGCACTAGAGGTGAAATGACCTGCCCAAAGTCACTCCCCTGAAAAGTATTTCTGCCCTACTTTTAATCCACGTCCTTTCTCCAGTTCCCCTCTGTGCTGATATATTCAATGCTGCGACCCAAAGACCTTGAGAGTTTCAGTGGATTAAATCAGCTCTACCAAAAACTAAAACGAAACACAAGACCCAGCCAGGTCCCCACTCCTTTGCGTTCAGCAGGAGGTGCGTGGAGGTGCTCGGTGAGGAAATGTTCTTTCTTCCCTGTTATCATGTCAAATTCTAAATAACTGTTCAGAGAATCCCCCGTTTACTGCCAAGTAAAATATTCAAATAAAATGTTTGGTCCTGACTTGCGAGTGAACTTTTCACTGTTGCTTTGCTATTGTGGGCCTCATCCACCACGAAACTGGCTTGTCAAAATGCTGCTGCAGCGGAGTCAGTAAACTCCTGCCAGAGACATTCCACTGTCTGTAAACAAAGACAAAATGCCTCTGTCCTTAGGCAGGATTTCATCTCTCGGAGTCATGCTGAGACATGTGGCCAGCCTGCGGTTTCTCCCGTAATCATGGCATTCAGTTAGAAAATGTGCCCTTGCAGGCTGATTCCGATTTGCTGGGTCACTGCCCTGAATGCACACATTTGACTTTTATGCATGCAATTTGCCTTCTGGACCTCTGCAAAAATCTCACAACCCATTTAACATCTATTTCTTAAGCAGCTACTCTAAGCCAGGTGCTGTGCGAGGTCCGAGGGACTCGGGGATGAGTAACAGGAGTCCTTATCTTCTAAACACGGCTTAAGTGAGCACTGAGCCTACAATTATTTATTCTGGTTATGCACCAACTTTTAGAGATCATGTTGAAAAAAATGCTGAAATAGTTTTAACAAAACTCATTCAAATATTTGGAAAGATGAAAGGGAACATAGAATTCTGGGATCTGAATTTCTGCCTCTACTTCCTTAGCTGTGCGGCCTTGGACAAGTTTCTTACCCTCTGAAGCTTTGTTTTCATCATGTAAATGGGGAGAATAGTGACAGGACTTGTGTCCCTGGATCGAGGAGGAATCCACCGCACCAAGTTAACACAAAGTGCTTAGCTCGGTGTGCCTGACATAAACAGCACCCACTATCGGGAAAGTAATTTGTGTAGGACAGGGTTTTTTCAGAGAAAATTCCATGTCAAAGGAAGCCACTATTCTATCAGTTGGCTATTTTGGATTCAACCACTATAAAAACCAGGTAAGTAAATATATGAATGTCTTAGTAAAGCATCTGAGCCATCGATTTACTGCCTTCCAGTAATCAAAGGAAACACAGGTTCCACACACAAAGGTCAGTGCCCAGCATGTAACTGGAGGGCAGTAGCCAATGAATGAATGAAGGAACAAATGGTCTCACGAAATAAAGTGAGTTTGATGAAAGGCTGACCATCTTCAAACCAGCATATATAACGTGATCAAATGATAAGAAAAATACAAGCCAGCACTGCCACATGCCAGGATTTTTCCAAGTGCCTGCTGTCAGGCTGGCTGGGCAGGGGCTGGGCGGTGCTGACCCTGAGTCACATCACGTTCCTTATCTCTAAGTTCTCAGGCCTCCTTTGTCTCCTACTATGTCTGATGGCTTCTAGTTTTAAAGAATTGCATCTTTATAATTTTTATGGTATTTTAAGTATTTTTATGGTATCATTAAAAGAGATTTAAAAAGAAAAAACCTGCCCCCCACCCCCCAGTTACCTCTGATCAGTAAAGAAGGAAGAATGGGTGATTAAAAATTTTAAAAAATACTAGCCACCTCTTGTGAATGTCTGTAAATGAAAACTGAAATTGTCACTCTGGCTAGTTTACTTTTAATCTCAAAAACTGAAATTTCATTTTTATCCCCACTGAATCATAGAGCAGAAAGGGATCCCAGCTCCTCTCCCCACCCCTCTCCCAGGAGGAAACAGACCCAACTGCGTCAGGACACAGGCTGGGGGCTGAGGGCAAGCTGAGGCCATGACCTCCATTCAGACAGAACGCTCACTCTGCCCATTATCATGCAGAGTCTTTTAGAGTTTTTCCTAAATTAGATGATATTTAGGTACTATTCCATTGACATGGTGCTCTCCCCACCTTCACTGAGACAGTTTTGTATGTGCTATTACGACCAGCCCAGAGCATCTCAAATAGGAAACCATCTCCAAGTGTGACCCAGGCTGACCACATTGTGTGGTGTGTCGGCCACCTGAACAAAGGGTTCATGATCAAACAGGCCAAAACAACTAACAAACATGGTCCCTTTGGAAGAGAATGAAGAATTATCATTGGAAGTTTCTTTTTCAAAAATTAACCTGAATATACAATCTGAGTGTGGATGTCGCATAAGAAGAGCTGACTTCTTTATTTTATAATAAAAGAGCTAAGATTATTTCAAGTGATAATTCGAGTCCTAATTTGTTTTTCGTCACCTAACAGATGCTACAGAGTCCAGTGAACTTGACTATCACTGACTCTTTCCTGCAGTAAACATTGACAGGCTTCATGTCCAGACCCGCCACTGAGTCGGGCAGGCCTCTGGCCACTCAGTTCACTTCCCATCTTCAGTCTGTCCCTAAATTCCAAAATTAGATGACTCGTCAATTAACAGAGCAAATCATAGTTAGGGGCCAAAAAGTAGAATCATTTTCCAAAAAAATCTTGAAATATAATTATGCTGGCAAAACTAATAGATAGAAAATAATTCTAAAGGAATATGTGAATATTCTTGACCAGACATTAAGGACTATATAGAAACAAGGGGATTGCAAAGGAAAGGTTACTGTGGACGGGTCTGTCAGAGAAGCCTCCAGCGCACTGCAGCCGCTGACTGTCACCACTGCTAACTGTCTGAATTTGGTCATAGTAAAGAAGTGACTGCTCTGGGAAAAGTGTCTGAACCTGTTTGGATTCTAGAATACTTCAAAGGTAGACTCAGTCCCCGCAGTACTGGGTGGGGGACGCGAGTACCTGTGACCATGAACTCGGTCCCCGCGGTGCTGGGTGGGGGACTCGAGTACTTGTGACCATGAACTTGGTCCCCACAGTACTGCGTGCGGGGACGCACCTACCCATGACCGTGAACTCGGTCCCGACGGTACTGGGTAGGGGGGACGCGCCTACCTGTGACTGTGAACACGGTCCCCGCAGTGCTGTGCTGGGGACGTGAGTACCTATGACCGTGAACACAGTCCCCATGGTGCTGGGTGTGGGGACGTGCATACCTGTGACTTGGACTTTCTGTGCAGTGGCTGCTTGAGGTCCTCGGGCACGTGGGAAGCACTGAAGGAAGAGAGCTCGGCCTCAGTGTACTGATTATCTTCCATTTTCCCCATTTTGAGGCTGTCTGTGAAGTGCCTTATGTGATCTAGAGCAGAAAGTCCAGTTTTATAGTCTTCCTCTTTATACCTAAAACGAACCAATGAAAAGCAGTTTGTTTTTTAATTTTTCAGTCTGTATCTAATCAATACATTTCCATTTGAATCCATCTATGTAACTGACCAGCTTCACACTGCATTTGCAGTGCTAAGGGGCATGCATCAATTACTGGGTTCTTTAAAAAATTAAATATAATATAATAAAAATATATTTCTCAGCGGGGCACAATGGCTCAGGCCTATAATCCTATTGCTGTGGGAGGCCAAGGCAAGTGGATTGCTTGAGATCAGGAGTTGAAAATCAGCCTAAGCAAGAGCGAGATGCCGTCTCTATCAAAAATAGAAATGTAACCCAGGTATGGGGCTGCCTGTAGTCTCAGCTACATGGGAGGCTGAGGCAGGAGGACGGCTTGAGCCCAGAACTGTGAGGCTGCAGAGAGCTATGATGCCATCAGTGCACTGTAGCTGAGCAACAGACTGAGACTATGTCTCAAAATATAATAAAAATACATATATTAGATTTTTAATAACTAAAGTCAAGCATATATTTAAGATAGAGTTAAGTCAATGACTCATGAGAAGTGTGAGGAGACAGAATTCGTACTTCTATAATTTCCACTTTAAAGTAAAGCTAGTTCTAATATTTCATCAGCACCTCTTATCTTCATGAAAATAGTATATTCCCATCAATGTAACTATTTAGTTTATTTTTCCATTTAGAAATTTAGCATCTATATAGATTATACATATAGCTAATGAATTGAAATTTATCTCAATAATATTGGCTGATTGCTCCAAATATTGAGTAAATTGGATAATATTGAAATCCCTATTTTTCTTTGAGTTTTAGAGGCACAGTCTAAAAATAAATAATTGTATACTTACATAATTTTCATTTACCCTCTCTACCTCCGTAAATGAAAGTTCCACAAACACCAATGTGTCTCTATGTGCTGTGGCTACCTGAGTTTTATCTATTAAAACTGATGACCGTCTATACTTCCCAGAGCAATCTACAGATTCAACGCCATTCCTATTAAAATACCAACATTGTACTTTCAAGATTTGAAAAAGTTTCTTTGTTTTGTATGGAACCAGAAAAAAAAGTATAGCTAAGGCAGTTCTTAGTAATAAAAACAAAGCTGGGGACCTCACCATACCAGATTTTAGGCTGTACTACAAGGCCATAGTGGTCAAGAGAGCATGGTACTGGTACAAAAATAGAGACATAGACATTTAGAATTGAATAGACAACCAGGAAATGAAACCAACAACTTACAACCACCTAATCTTCAATAAGCCAAACAAGAATGTCCACTGGGGGAAAGACTCTCTATTCAATAACTGGTGCTGGGATAACTGGATATCCACATGTAAAAGACTGAAACTGGACCCACACCTTTCTCCATTCACAAAAATTGATTCAAGATGGATAAAGGACTTAAATTTAAGGCATGAAATGATAAAAATCCTCAAAGAAAACATAGGAAAAACACTGGAAGGTATCAGCCTCGGGAAAGACTTTATGAAGAAGACTTCTGTGGCAATTGCACCAACAAAAATAAACAAATGGGACTTAATTAAACTGAAAAGCTTCTCTACAGCTAAGGAGACAACAACCAAAGCAAACAGACAACCTACACAATGGGAAAGGATATTTGCATATTTTGAATCAGACAAAAGCTTGATAACTAGGATCTATAGAGAACTCAAACTAATCCACATGAAAAAAGCCAACAATCCCATATATCAATGGGCAAGAGACATGAATAGAACCTCCTCTAAAGAAGACAGATGAATGGCTAGCAAACATATGAAAAAATGCTCATCATCCCTAATTATTAGAGAAATACAAATCAAAACCACCCAGAGATACCATCTAACCCCAGCGAGAATGGCCCACATCACAAAATCTCAAAACTGCAGATGCTGGTGTGGATGTGGAGAGAAGGGAACACTTTTACACTGCTGGTGGGACTGCAAATTAACACAACCTTTTTGGAAGGAAGTATGGAGAACCCTCAACTCAAGCTAGAGCTCCCATTTGATCCAACATTCTCATTACTGGGCATCTACCCAGAAGGAAAAAAATCTTTTTATCATAAGGACACTTGCACTAGACTATTTACTACAGCTCAATTTACAGCTGCCAAAATGTGGATACAGCCTAGATGCCCACCAACCCAGGAATGGATTAACAAGCTGTGGTGTATGTACACCATGGAATACTATGCAGCCATTAAAAAAGATGGAGACTTTACAGCCTTTGTATCAACCTGGATGGAAGTGGAACACATTATTCTTAGTAAAGCATCACAAGAATGGAGAAGCATGAATCCTATGTACTCAATTCTGATATTAGGATAATTAATGATCTAGTACACAGTGGGGGGTGGGGAATGGGTAGAGCAGAGACAGGGAAGGAGGGAGGGGATGGGGGTCTCCGTGTGACACACTTTTAGGGAGAAAGACACAATTGTAAGAGGGACTTTACCTAACAAATGCAATCAGTATAACCTGATTTCTTGTGCCCTCAATGAATCCCCAACAATAAAAAACAAAAACCTGATTACTGAGCATACCGTGCTAATTCCAGCCTAACTGTTATTATTTATTATACAGAAACTGCTCTAATGGAAAAACAGAGCAGGAGGACCTGCCACCTGCCGGTTTCCCAGGCACCCAGGCTCTCACCTCCCGGGGGGCGTCTTGCAGCCCCTCTCCAGGGTGCTGGCCTCTTCATAGTCGTCCTCCGGGCCTCCTTCATGCAGACCACTCGCCACGGGCTCTTTCCCTGCTTTTCCAGTCAGATCCCCGTCCTCATCCTCCTCATCCAGCAACACTTCATCTTCTCCTTCCTCATCATCCAGTAAGTCTGAACTCTGACTGGTCGCCAGAGCCTTCCCATCCTTAAAGTGACGGCCATTCATTCTTTCAGGAAAAGCATTCACAAAAGTTCAATTATTGGTTTCATTTAAACTTGTATTTCCTATCATGTCTTCCTAACAACAGTTTAGGTCTTCAGCACTCACACAGGAAATCTTTATTGTTTCTGCTTATGGCAATGATGGGAAAATATTGTAATTTCACAAACGAGAAGATGATGAAAAAAATAACCGGATGATTATTCAGAGTGTAAGTGAAGCCTCTGCAGACCTGGAGAAACAATCTCGGTCTCCTGTTCCCTGTCGGGTTCTGCCTGACTCATGATACTGCTCTGTGTGTGTGTGTGTGTGTGTGTGTGCGCCCGTGTGTATGTAAATAAAATATTTTGAGAAGCACATACATATTTTCTCTGCATAATGTACCCACCATTTAAAAGAATGTATTTCTGGAAAACTCACTCCCCTGAGCAGCACTGCTACCAGTTTCAATGTCCCGGTCTCACGTGGTCTAAGAGCCACTGTCATTGTTAAGGTGGCAGCAAAGGACCAGCAGGTGTCAACTGTCACTGGGTGACGTTCCTCACACTCTACCCAGCCTTGGAAGTGACTGAGATCTCATTTATTTATGTTGTTTTCAAGTTAGTTTTGATATTCTGAATCCCAGGGGGACCCTGGAATGGGAAATGGTCTAGAAATATAATTGTACAAATATGTTTTGAAGTTGGTTTAGAAGTATGTCTGCTATAATGATGCAAAAGAATATAATGTTCTAAAAAGTCACTTGTAATATTTTTGTTTACAGCTGCAAGGATTGTAACATGACTTTAGAGTTTGGTTTAAAAAGTGAGATTAATTACATAGGAATTCCAATTTAATACATCTGAGTGCATTTGGGAAAAGGGGATAAGCTCTCAGCTTTAAAATGAACTCTAACATACGTGTAAATTGCATTTAAGTTTCACTGCACAATTTAAAGCTTTCAATTAAATTACATAATCCTGACCTATGTTTCGAACTACAGCATATCTTCTAAGCCTCTTCCTTTTAGAGATACATGACCAGAGTAGTTAGACCACCTGACACGCCCAGAAGGCCTGTGAGGGATCAAACCATCCAGGGGTCCTGGTGTTCTGACTCTTGGCCGCTCCCACCTTCTCCAGCAGCCCTGCTCCCTTACCCACGGACTAAATCAGGGGTCCTGGTATTTTGACTCTCAGCCACTCCCAGCCTCTCCAGAAGCCCTGCTCCCTTACCCACGGACTAAAGCAGGAAACCGTGGAGATGGTTAAACAGTAATATTCAGTTTTTACATTTAATGTAACTACCCTTCAAATTACAGAAGATCGGGGATCAACCATGCACTCCCATCATTCTCCCACAAGCCAAAAACGAGTATAATTTAAGATTCAGATTTCCCAGGGCTTAAAATATAAATAAATAAACCAATCTTGGACGTGATGGACACACACGTCCACAGTAAAAATCCATTTGATTAGATAGAGTCACACACGTATTGTTATTAAGCTTTTCCTATGACCAATCTCTTAACCTCTTTTATCAGAGAATGATGAAGACATGTTTTTCACAGACATAAATTATGAGTTTCCAGATACGCTGCCAACTTACTTGCATGAATAGATTGACATTCTTATTTATAAAAAATGAAGGAAAAAGTGAAAGAACAAAAGAATACACGGACGAAAACCAAAAGTAACAAAAAGTCAACATAATTACGAGCACCTATCTGTTAATTATGCTTTCAAATGTGGCTATTTATAGGAGATAAATTATTCATCAAAAGTAGCCTGATCGGAGTTCAGGGGAAAGTTAGCTGACTCAACCTTCTCACCGTGCCTGTTTAGACGTGCTGAAGCCAGATGTTGCAGCCACCAAGGCTCACAAATCTCTAATTAAAGGAGAGAACATCTAAATGGGCATCTCAGAACCCAAATGGGGCTGTTTGTTCAGTATTTCTTATTTGCATTATATAAATAATTATCAAAATGTAAGACTGTGACTGTTTCCTGCCTGTCACTACGACTCCGTCCTCTGACCACCCTCCTCTCTCTCACAAGTGGGCAGGAAAAGGGAGACACAAATCCCGCTGCCCGATGCAGTGATTATCAGACTTCTTAGAGGCCAGGATGCACCTTCTATCCTTTCTTCTATAGGTATGTTTTTATTGTTGAAAGAACAGAAGTACTCATATGTTTTTATGTTATTTTGGCAAAAAAAAAATGTGCATTTGAAGTTTGCTTTAATGGAAGAACTAAAATAATTAACTTTGACTTTTAATCATATCAAAAATTAAGGACACTGGCTCAGTAATACTCGTATGAGGAACAGTCAAGTTGTGCGACGAGAAGTAATGGGAATTTTATTAACTAATTTCATGTTGCATTAAAATTTACAACGCAGCATCCTAATTTAACAGATTACCAGATAGATCTATTCAGAAATGCCTGGTTCTCAGTAAAAAGTTCTCAGATATTTAATTGTGACTTACAGATAAGAAAAATTAAATTCACTAGTTTTAATAAAATAATGTTTCATTGCTTCACATGCAATGCAAAGTGCTAGGTAAATGTTAATTATCATCATCAACAGCATTAAAAGCTTGCCTTTATTAATTAACCCGTTTATGTCTATGCTGATAATGACAAAAGAAAACCACCGTCTTAGTAAAATGAAGGTGAGCATTCCCACTGAAACAAACAGAAGTAAATGACCAGCTACTTATGAGGGCGTAAAGTAAGACTCCTAATTAAGAAGTCTCAGACAGTTATTTGTGAAAGGCATCTGACTGACACGCAGTGGGTATTTCATATATAAACATATACAGATGTATAGGTAGAGAGCCAGAGGCAGAGACGGAGAAACAGTCATATATTATGACTGATTATATATATATACACATATATTATGACTGATTATATATATATACACATATGATTATATATATATACACATCATATATATAACATATGCTGTATGTGTAATAGTAATGGTAGATAATATAATAGATATTTATTATCTCTTTCTATATATATAAAACATATGCTATACGTATAATAGTAACTATAGATAATATAATAGATACTTATCTCTCTCTGCACATATATAGATATATAGATATAAAACATATGCTGTATGTGTAATAGTAACTGTTATTGATTAGACATCCAGCTGAGTCCCTGTGTGGCTTTCCCTGCTACTGGTGAGAGTCTGACAAACTTTCCCATTTAGGTATCAGGAGAGCACGGTGGTCGAGTCACGGGCTGTGAAACCAGATAGCTCTGGTTGGACTCCATTAATTACCTAAGTGACGCCTGAAGTTATTTCACCCTCAACATCTCCATTTCTTCACTGATAGAATCAGTGGCTGTCTATAAGGCTGCCGTGAGACTCAACCTAAGTAACACATGCACATGCCTGCAAGAGCCCGTGGTACTTCCACGTGCAGGAAATACGCACCGGCCCCGGGCCTGGGCAGGTGTCAGCAGTGCCACCAAAGTGCACACAGCAAACGCATTTGAAACATTCATTTCAGAGGTCACAGAGTTTAGAAAGCAAAAAGCCCAGCTTCACCTCTCCTCTGCGTCCCGGGGAGACTGGCTGCGGTGGCTGCTGTTCCCAATGAAATTCCGAATCTCTGTGAAGTAAGCGTCTTCCTTGTCATCAAGCATCGCACCTGCGCTTTCCAGTTCAGAATGAGGTGAGGATGTCGCCGTGCCTGTGGGGAGCAGAAAGCCTTTTATGTCAAAGGCGACTACCCAGCTAGCAATTTATTCAGAAGCTCCTTCCTGAGGACTCTGATCCGTGTCGTGTCTTACGACAAACTCTTCTGAATATTAATCATAGTTACTGCAGGAGGTCAAAGGCTCCCCAGTGCACCATAATATACACGCCTGTAACAACAGTAGGAACCACTGAAATTATTAGGAATGCTCTCTCAAGGAGATCGTTCACCAGCTTCCCCCCGCCCTCACTGTGACATGGAAACAACTTCATTCACATAGTGAAGACTTACAAACTACAGATAAGCCTTAAGCTCGGCTTAAGGAACTGACAGTCCTGGATGCAGAAAATAAACGTTTTTTGTTTTTCTTTTTGCTGCTGTATTAAAGAATGTTACAAAATAAATACTTCAGACACACAGCAAATTCCATATTCTGGCTGGGTGGGTTAGTTCCAGGGGCAGAAGTGGTACAGTATTAAGAGGACAAAATTGGATTTCAGATTACAGGGTGATCTTCAGTTTCCTCACCTACAAAAAATTAGAATCGTAATGCCTGCCTCGCAGGTACCAAATACTGTACTACACCTGCCCCGGGATGAAACCACCCAGCCAGAATATGGAATTTGCAGTGTGTCTGAAGTATTTATTTTGCAACATTCTTTAACAACAGCAGCAAAAAAAAAAGTGCTTATTTACTGCGTCTAGGACTGAGTGCCAGTTTCTTACAGCTGAGCTTAAAGCTTACTGTAGTTTGTCAATCTTCCTTCTATGAATGAAAATGTTCCATGTCACAGCAAGGACTGGTGGAGGGTAACACAAACTTACACAATTATAGCCATTTGATAAGAAGCTGAAATTTACACCAACATTAGCTTCCCATTTGTTATCTCACCCCCAGACTGTCTATCTATCTGAAATTTAATAGTTTATCCCAAGAGTCTCTACAGCAGAGTAGACAAGAGATTAGAACACCCCCTCCGCTTAGAAGTTATAATCTGGGTCAAGAAGTAAGGATTCAACTGTGATGTTACATTTTTAATTTTTCTTCCTGAAATAACTTTGGAGAAAAGTTTATGGTTGCATGTTCTAAGGGTACGCAAAGTTAGAATATTGCCAGTTTTATACACAGGATTAGATTTTGTGCCTAAAATCTAATATTTTAAAACCGTGATCACTAGATTCTTGGCTTTGTAAGAAATGAGCAGTGTATTTTAAATAATAACAGCCATTCAAGATGATAAATAATGTGCCTTTATTGTGGAGGAAAGACTAATAATAAAATAATTTTCTTAAAATCACTAGTTTATATCAATTCTTTTTTTCCTTTCTTAACATCTCTTTTCCTGAACTCCAGGCTCACCCCCTCCCCTCACTCTCAATTCATTTCCTTTATTCTCTAGAAGCAACTGCGGCTGCACGGGTTTGCTCTGCGCACACATGCCAGCTGGCAAATGTTAGCTAATGCTTATTATGTAACCATCAGAAGCCAAAGACAAGAAAACCTACCATCCTTTCTGCTAAATATGTGCGGGCAGGTCCAAGTTAAGGGAAGGCTGTTTTGCCAGTTACTTTTAAAGCACCACTATCACTTGCTATGGGTTTCTCTAATCACGTCAACAGCCTCCTAGCCCTACTCTTGAAAATGTGGTCTGGAGAGGTTCTCTGAACTGCAGCGTTCTGCAAAGCAGACGCAGCTTCTAGATAAATCTTCTCAGCAGGGTGCACTGAGGCTGTCCCTCCTGAAATCCTGCCATCTTTAAGGACTACATCTTGTGTGCCCACAGGTGGGAAGATTGCTCCTCCCTGCAATTTAAGAAATCTTGATCCACAGGTCTCCTGTGGGTTTGGGCCATGGTTCTCTTTGTTTAATTAAGATTGCCTATTGAGGTGGGTCCGGGAAGGTGAGAGGATGATCTAAGGAAGCCCACCGAGTTGTGTTCATCCGCCAATGCCCACCTCACTCACAGAATCATAAATCTCAAAGGAAAACTGCTGTGAATTCTCACAGTAGGATCTGATGTTGGTGTCAGTGTGGAATGAGAGACCACGATTATCTTTTAGACTGTGAAAACTCCGTCACCATCTCCTCCTAACACAGCGGATGACTCACCAGACATGTTCCCGTTCTCGTGTTTCTTTAGGTGTCTGTCCAGGTTGGTCTGCTGACCGAAACACCTGTCGCATAAGTGACACTTGAACGGCTTCTCCTTGTTGTGAATGTTCCGGACGTGCCTCTGCAAGTTAGATGATATGCTGAAGGACCGGTCACAGTATTTGCATCTGAAAAAAAGAAATATTTGCAAGCGAATCGAAAGATATTTCTCAAATAAAAATCATCACCCATAAAACAACATTTTAAATCAAAGGCGCAGGGAAGAACACTTCCCAAACAGCCATGTTTTAATTCTAATAGGCTCTGATTGCTTTCACGATTCTCATCACTTCACGTAAAACCATAATAAGATATTGGCACCTTCATTGCTCCCAAGTTATTAGCGTAATCACTTCCAATATTTTCAATAAACTTCACACAAGTGAGCACACTAAGAAATAGTAGGGTTGTTTTATCTTTTGCTTATGAAAATACAATTTAATCCCCTGTAAACCAACATGAGAAAAATTCATATATGCTTCAAATAAAGTAAAAATATCACTTTTTAATTCAAAAATTCAATCTGATTAACTAATTTCTTGATGAATTCACTTTTTCAGTTGCTGGCCCTAAAGAAAATTCTATTATACCCCTCAAAATAGCAATAAACATTCTAAACTTTTAAAACGGAGAGAGGGAAGGTGGGAGGAGGTGGGGGGTCACGATGTGTGACACACTCTTGGAAGTGGGACACAATTATAAGAGAGACCTCACCTAACAAATGCAATCAGTGTAACCTGATTTTCTGCACCCTCAATGAATCCTCAACAATAAAAAGAAAGCTGAGATAATATGAATAGTTCAGTCTGATGCCAGATAAACTAATTTTCATAACTATAGTGATTTGGAATCCCCAAATCCTTTGCTCTACTAACCTTTAAACTGTTACCAAAGCAAGTGATAATGCCATCAAATTTTCCTTTAAGGATGAAAACAAAGGTCTTCCTTAACTTCACCTGTTCCTATGTCCCACAATTTTCCATTTCTACTTTTAAAAACAGTCTGTAGCACATTTTTAGGAAGCCAGTTAGTTTTTCAGGAAAGCCCTTCTTATTGGTCAGTTAATTATTTCTGCCTTCCATATGATTAAAAACCCTTACCCATGTTGAAGTTTTCCTTTAGTCATAAAAGGAAGTTATAACAATGTTAAGAGCCCCGGGTCTTACCAGTGAAGAAGGAAAGGTTTTGTAGTTGATGGGTTTATTCTCCTCTGTATTTTAAGGTTAAAAAACATCATGTAATTTTCCTGATGTGTTGCTTAAAAGAAAAATTGACCTTCTCCAAATGACTTTTAAGTGAAAATTTCTAATGTAGAGGACAGATAGCTCCTCACTCCTCTGTGTGTGAAGGGCCCTTCTCCCCCTTCTGTGGGAGGCTCTGGGCTCAATGCTCTGACTCAACCCCACTCCTCTCCACTTGATGCTCCAGGCTCAGTGCTCTGACTTGACCCCGGTCCTCTCCACTTGATGCTCCAGGCTCAGTGCTCTGACTCAACCCCACTCCTCTCCACTTGACACTCCGGGCTCCCATGGCCGTCCTTCTGCGCCAGAAGTCTAGTCAGCTCAGTGGGGAAAATAATCTGCCGGACTAGTTACTTTGGCAGAGGGTCAACCCCAACCCAAGTCCTCATTTAATTTTTCTCCCTTAAAAAACTGTTCCGGCGTCACAAGCTTCCTCAACTTTCCTCACTTAGAATATTAATAAAAAATGTGTAAGACTCCACACTGGCAGTTGCTGGGCAATGTCAGCCTCCGCTTTTGAGAAAGGAAGCCCAGGACATCTCAGCCTTCTCTGCGATACTCTGTCCCCTCCGAGCTCAGCGCAGTGCGACCCGCGGCAGGCCGGGCACCCTTGCGTGGTGCTCAGGGAGCAGAGGAGGGGACTCTGTTAGAGCACACTCACCTTCCCATGAACGCCTTACGAAAAACATTCCACTCAAAATACTTTCTGCACAGATCATGAAGAAAAGAGACTCTGTTGCTGACACCTTCTCCCTGCCTGTGTACAGAGGGGCTTTTCCAAACCTAGTAAGCCTCGTCCTCTCAGATCTGAAAGGTGCCAGCTAGTGAGGATGGTCTAACCAAGGAGTCTCTGCTGTGTCTCTACCAGAAGACTGAGTTCTCTAAATAAACAGTCATTCCATCCCACTCTGATAAATTAGTAGGCGGTTAACAGAAGGCTGAAATCATAGCCTACATTTCAGAAATCCTTCAAATCAGTACACAGTGAGATCACAAACACCACACTATCGGGCCCTCGTAGCTACTGATGTAGATTTAGGGGCCAAGGCAGTCTTTGAGATCACAGAATGAGGTTACAAAACTCTGAAGCGAGAGCTCCAAGCCTCGTTTCAATTCTGCCTCCATGGACATCAGCCGTCACAGAGGCAGTCAGCACCTGTAAATATGATGTTTCTCATTTACGAAACAGAAGGGCTGGACAAAGATTTAAGATCTCCAGTTATGCAAAACTCTGGTTTGTATTATTTTAAAATACATGTACAATAATAACACCATTTTATGAAACAGAATAAAACTGCCCACTTCCTTATTCTTGCATTTTTAAAAAGCCTTTGAAAACTGACATATTATTTATTTTAATAAAAAAGCTTAACATTGGGACAAAAATAACTTTTCATTCTATTAAAATTTATTTATGAATACCTAATTCTGTGTGCAAGGAATTGCATATTAAATAATGTAGGTTATATTTTTAAATTAGGAGGGTGGGTTATGCTTATTTATATTCTTTTACAAACAATAATATTGAGATTAGATGTGTCTCCTCCATGGTATGGCTAATCTCAGCACTTAACAGAGTAAGCTAAGAAATACCCTTGGAAACTGCTGATGAAACTGCCTCTTTTCTTACACGTACTCTATTTTGTCCATTCTCCTTCTTATCCCACATTTCCTTCCCCTGCCCCACACATTTAAGATTCATTCCTTAAACCTCCTCTTCGGACCTGTAGAAACTGACTCAGCTGCGCTAGGGAGACCAAGAACACAGGAGTAGTTAACTCCCAGCAGGGACCTGAGCCTTGAAAAAAGAGAGGCTTTAACGTTTCAGAAACGTTAAGACTTCTGTCGATTAAAATATTTTATTTAATCGCTGGCATTTCTCAAATGCTAAGTCTGTACCAGGCACGGTGCTAGAGAATTTTTAAATATAATGGCAGGAAGCCTCAATTAAAGAAATCAGGACTGTTTAAGTTTGACCCCATTCAATTCTCCCTTGATTCCAAACTGAACAGACACACACTCAGACATGCAAAAAGTGCCCCTCCGGGAACCCATGCCCATGCATTCGCTTTATTACAATATTTATCAAGAGGTTTAGCAAAACTCGTCATCAAACCTGTAAGGCTGCTCTCCTGTGTGAGTTCTCAAGTGCCGTGTCAGATTTGCAGACCTTGGGAAAATCTTGCCACAGTATCTGCGAGGAGAGATGTTTACAGGAGAAAGTCAGCACAGTGGACGTCGTGCCACTCAAGCCACAGACCAGCCACATGCTTATTCCCGATTTAATTAATCTTGCATGGAACTCACATGTCTTTGGTGTTTAAAATTTGCAACAAAGTCATTCTATGGATATAAATAACTCTGCAAATAAAGAGTACAATTTGAGATCTGGTTGAATTTGCTTGTGCATAAGCAAGAAGCTTATGAAAACAGACTATAGTTTTGATGACCCCCAGATGCCTCTCTTACTAATTCCGTATCTTAAAATTTACAAAATTGAACCAGACGGAGGATAAAAAAAAAATGATGAGAGTTTGTGAGCCTGGGTTGATGTAAACAGATTTTAAATGTTTCAACTCATTTTGCACGTCAGCCACAGTGATGACTCCCTATACAACAGAGCAGTGTTGTGTCAGACAAGATTCCAAAACGTCATCCATCAAGGTACATACCCAGAAAAGCTTTTCTGCAAAGAAAGTAACATGCTTTCCAAAGAGCAAACAAATTGACATGTCTAAGTGAGATACCCCAAGTTTCTAAAGACAATTCTGAAATTATAAGCACAACTTATTTGGAAAAAAAATCACACAAAAAACCGGAAACATAAAATAAGCTCTACTGCTGACAAGTAACGAGGAATTAACCAACTAGTTTTCCTCACTGGCAGACTTTATTGTCTTTCATTAATTATTCTTCAATGCCATGACCATCTATAACGACATGCTTGAGGACAGGCATATTACACCTTTGGATGAAAATAATTAACTGCGAAAGAAAATTCATAAACATCAAAGAGAAATGAGTAGATAACATTTGGACGGTTTCCAACCTCATTTATCACGACCAAATAGCCTGTATTAAAATTCTCATTTAATAATAATTTTTTAAAACCACTATTTTTATATCTGCCCCAGTAAAGAACGCTCTGAAGTGCCTGAGATCTATCATGGAGGCTACTCTTCATCTAACCAAGAACAACTTCCCAAGCAAATAGCAAGGCCTTCTGCAATCACAGGGGAGATTTTGGAGCCGCAGTTCATGCGACAGTCACCTGCAGGTGTAGCGTTCCTTGCCCTTCCGCAGGACGCTGTCGGGCAGGGCGCTGGGGGGTGCTCTGAAGTTGAACATGGAGGGCACCGGCTGCAGCAGCTCACTGGCCTCGGGCTTCAGCGCACTGAAGCTCTCCAGCTTCTCCGCCATGTTCTCGATGGCGGACATCTGAAAGGGGAAGCACAGACCCATGAGGCTCTGATGGCTTTTCCTCTGTAACAACCTCTGCAAACCACAGACATTATTAGAAAGGAAGCATCGAATCCACTGAATGCAAAGAGGTATAACAAGAGGTTGTAGTGTCCTAAAGCTAAGCAAATAATGTGACAACTGATTCAGCGGTTCTCAACCTGTGGGTCACGACCCCTTTGTAACAATGAAGATACATCAAGAACCACTGTTAGATCTGGGAAGAGTGAGAGTAAAACCAAGCTAATAAAATGCAGTGTGAACTTTTTCTGTAAAATCTTAGGCCGTTTGATATTAATCTGGTATATAATTGACTGATGAAATACATACGGGAGATAATAAACCCAATTTAACCTTTTATTTGGTTAAGTGACAGCACTGGTATTACATATGGGCATCAACATAATGAAAGTTACAGCGAAAGGTGCTACATGCCTGGCCGAGTCATGAAATCATGAAAACCCTAAGAATCATGGCACCCCATGGAAAGAACTCACAGCAGGAAAGAACACGGAGAGTTACAAAATTGCAGCTTGAGCCAGATGTGTGTAACTCAGAAAGGAAAAATTAATGTGTCAGAGGTGTACTGCCTATGACCACATTAAATTAATATCTGGATATATCAGATTTTAAGTGGGATCATAGGCAAGGAATTTTAATGAAATATTAATTTCTTGTGGACGAAGACTGAGTTGAACTGATGTTTCATGAAATATTAATATAATTTCATATAAGATAACTTGGCAAGAACATTGTAGAACAGGGGAACAGTTCACACAGCCAGACTCAGCAAAACATTCCCGGTAGAAACTACCCTGCCTCCTTTTCCCCTTAACAACCTCATTATGTTGCTTGCAATTGTTAACTTTTTATCTACCTGAATGTGTACTTGATGGTCACAATCAGAGGGTGGCACTGACCTTCAAAGTTAGCTTGATTCTTTTTTATTATTATTTCAGATTAATCTCAGGGTACATACAACCAGGTTGCCTGGTTTGCTTCTGTAAGGTAAAGTCCAAGTTACAGCTGGGTCCTTCATTCAGGAAGTGTGCTGTCCACCCACACATTGTTCCTGCTGGACGTTAATGTCCAGTTGGAGACTCTCCCCTTTCCTTTGACCCTCCCAAAATGTTACGTTTCCTTACTGCTCACATTTTATTTAAAAGATGCTTATTATCAAATTTGCAAAAAAAAAAGCAAGCTCTCAGGCCATCTTATTAATCAGCTCACCGTTACTTATCTGCTTCTCGGGGCTGTGTGCCATTAGAAAACTTAAAAAGCTGTTAGAAAGGTCTTCTCATGCCAAATGCCTTCTGTGTATTTCTCAAAGAGTCAGGGTGGCAGGGCCGAGATGCTAATAACCACAAATTCAAGGAACTGGTCCACCCAAGAGGCTAATTCTTTTGCTGATGAGATCACAAGACAGGAGATAGAGGCCTAATTTACAATCTCAAGTTAAAAATAAAATGCAACATTTCCTAGTCAAAAGAAAAATTAACGAAGTATATATTCTGTGGACACAGCTGGATAGAAGACCATCAGCTTCTTACAAGAGCAAAATCTTAATAGCTTTAATATGACCTCTTCTCACAAAGGGGATATCGTATGTTTGATTCTTCGAATGACTATTCCTGTGCTAGCCGGTCCTCACTCTCCTCTTTATCCTGGAGCCTGCCCTCTCGTTTCATGCCCAGCCTCCTAATGCTGGCTACAAATTGCAACCTACAGGGTACCACTGCCAATTTGCCAAATGTCTTTCATCAAACACGGTACAAAAAAAATCTCGGAGGAAAGTCAAGATACATTTACTTGTCAGACGGCAAATGTGAACGCATTGGGAGGCAGTAAGGGCTGTAAGCTCAGGGGTCTGATTCATAATCACTCAGCTGCTAAAACATTCTCCACAGATGCAAGTGGACAGCGCATTTGTCACGATGAAGGATTCTGACACACGCTGATCACAGGGCAGAGATAGGGAATGGTGCCGCTGCTCGGAGAGGCGGAGGACGCCGTCTCTACAGAACACCGTCACAGTCCTCCTAACCACACTGCTAACAGTTACTTGGGATCTTGTTTATTAAAAATAAATCCAGAAATATTTCATGATACTATTGTATTTATATTTATTCCTCCTAATTGTTTCTTGCAGAAAATAATTGACATTCCACCCACCATGAAATAAATTGTCTGAGTGAAAAATGGCCTCTGGCCGTCCAGCTGATAGGGGTGTCAGTGAGGTGCAAGGCTGTGGTCAGGACTGCACGTGGTCACTGGGAAGAACGGTAAGCGCGTGGGTAATGACCACCAATGTTTATTTATCCACATTTAATATCTGAGTAAAGTTTCATCATCTAGTGGTTTTAATCATTTGCCCATCTGTCCAGCGGACACACTCAGATTCCGCAGCCACACATCTTACAAAAACGCTTTCCTTTTATATGGAAAATAGCTCATTTATGACTACCCCTCTCAGCTTTCATCTCCAGCACACACAAACTACAAGTCTGTCGGTCTGTTTGAGACAACTGGCTGCTGAGAAATGTGTCTTCTTTTAATAGCTGCTAATTGTGAGCTTCTTTTGAAGAAAGATTACTGTGGTTGCTTTACCTCAAACTGTTTCAATTCAGAAAAACCTCCAAAAAACAAGAAAACACATTCTGGGTTTGATGGTTAAATAACAACATGCTTAAAGACAACAGGAAAGAGAATTAGGGTTACCAAGGGCCTCTCTCATAAGCTGCCCCACCATGTGCTCCTGGTATGAAATGAAAAGAGGGTTCCCTTGGAGCAGGGAAAACGAGAGGGAAGAAGGTGGGGAGTGAACTGAGGGTGCTGTGATGTTAACACACACATGCACATGCACACGCATGCATGCGCACACATGCACACACACACGCACACACATGCACACACATGTACACGCACACACACACGCACGTACACACATGTACCCACACATACACACATGTACACCAACATACACACATGCAAACACATGAGCACACACACATGCACATGCATACACATGCACAGGCACACATGCATGTACACACATGCACACATGCACACATGCACTCACACATACACATGCACACATGTACACGCACATACACACACACCACTCCCTGCCCAGCCAGCAACCACCGAAGCAACACACAGCTTCCCCTGGAATCCCTCCTTTCACATTATTAATATTTGTTCTCATAGTGCCTGACCTCAGTAGACCTCGTTTCTACTTTAGGACAGACAGAAGTGACTTTGACACCTGCTTGTTGGGTAATTAAGCAGTTCTGTGACCCGACACCACACCTAATTTATACTTTAGATTAAGGCATTGGATTAATATTAGCTTTATGTACCTGCTCAAGGTAACAGAGCAAGACTTTGTCTCTACAAAATATCAAAAAAATGAGCTGCCTATGGTGGCTCAGACCGGTACTCCCAGCTACTCAGGAGGCTGAGGCAGGAGGATCACTGAGCCCAGGAAGTTCAGGTCACAGTGATCAGTGATGACACCACGGACTCTAGCCCAAATGAATAAGATCCTGTCTCAGGGAAAAAAAATTGAAAATATTAGATTTATGTTGCATATAGATCAAAACCCCAATGTTCTCTTGCACTCTGGTCTGACTCCATTGGTGTTCCTCCAGAAGTAATGTACTTTTCACAGAAGTAGCAACTTCTGGCACTGATTTTAAAGTCTGACTTGGATTTTAAAAATTAAGGCAAGCAGGGCTAAATGGAAGACCATACAGCTACATATTTTTAATTTTAAAAAATCCAGTGAGAAAGGCAATGTGCATGACTATGAATGAGAATTTGCTGAGAATGGGGAAAATAACGGGGAAGTTAGATCATATATTTTTAAACAGTATTGCAATGTGATCCATTAATGTCATAGGCTAATCTCAGATCAGTAAATGACAGTTTTTTCTATGGAACAGTAAATTTTATTTACATATATAATAGTTGGCGATGTTATCTATGGCCAGATGTCTGGAGGAGGAAGTCATTTCACCCCCCCTTCCTGTCCCCAAGAGGCTATTAAAGTTATACTGACGCAAACTAATATTTAGACACAATTCCCCAGCTCCTACCAAAAAATGTAGCTATCTCTCCAGTCAAATAAAGTCAGTATTTTTAAAAACATTTCAGCAGGCAAGATACCATCAGCTGGGTCTCAAGCACTTAGCTGAACATTTATTATCTGGCAGCAAATAACTGATGATGGAGAAAAGCTTCTCATTAAAACTATTAAAGTGACAACCTGATTATACGGAATCATATGTCCACAGCACCATGAATTATGTGACCTCATGTTTTACAAATTAGATTACACATGCCTTTATCATAAAATAACTAACTTTTCATAAATAACTTCTGATGGGAAAGTTTGTAGATTTGGTGGTTTTCTATATTTATTCACTTGATAATCTTGAGAAATCTTAAAATCATGGTCATTTGGGAGAAGGAGTAAATATTCATATTTTAGGGTTATCTCACTCTGTGCCTCACATCCAGCAGTCAGGGTTATTAAATCACTTAGAGTTTTTTACCACTAAAAATTATAAACATATATCTTTAGTATTTCCCACTAATACATGTTTCATAGTATAAATTATAAATCACTGCTTTGGAAAACCCGTGGCCCAGCAGAATGGGAGGGTTTCAAAGCAGTTGTTACTGCTGTGGCCCAGCAGAATGGGAGTGTTACTGCTGTGGTCCAAGGAAAGGCTGTCTGACCCCACATCTGTGCTGGCAGAACCGTGGGCCGGATGCGTGGGGTGAGCTGCCAACAAAGTCACCCTGTACCTTAGAAAGGGTGAGGACCCTGGGGCCCAAGATCCCAGACAGACCTCTGTCAGGAGAAGCAAGGAGGGACACGGAGGTCTGCAGGGTCATCAAAGAACAGTCACGACACTGTCCACTGCACAGCACTGCCAAGCATGTGTGTCTCTCTCTGTCTCTCTGTGTCTCTA